AAGTGTGTGAGGTTTTATGTGAGCTTTGAGTTTTAGTAGCATTTCTTTTACAAACGTGGGCGCCTTTATATTTGGTGCATAGATGTTCAGAACTGAGACTTTGTGTTGATGAATTTCTCCTGCGATGAATATGAAATGACCATCTTCATCTTTTTTTATTAATTTTGGTTTAGATATTAGGGTAGCAACACATGCTTGCTTCTTGGTTCCATTTGCTTGGAAGATCTTTTCCTAACCCTTTACCCTGAGGTAATGTCTATCTTTGAAGCTTAGATGTGTTTCTTGTATGCAGCAGAAGGATGGATTCTGTCTTCGTACCCATTCTGTTAGCCTGTGTCTTTTTATAGGTGAGTTAAGACCATTAATGTTGAGGGTGAGTAAGGACCATTGATTGCTGATGCTTGTTTGATTTAAATTTGTTATTGGCAGTGGTATTGTGAATATATTTGTCCTGCTTTACCCTTGGTTTCTGGTGTAGTTGGATTATCTGTTGCCTACATTTTTGTGGGTGTAGTTACCTTCCTTGGGTTGGAGTTTTCCTTCCAGAACTTTCTGTAGGGCTGGATTTGTAGATACGTATTGGGAAAAATCTGGTTTTGTCATTAAATATCTTGTTTTCTTTTGCTGGGTATAGTAGCCTTGGCTGACATCCATGTTCTCTTAATACTTGTAGAACATCTATCTATCCAGGACCTTCTGGCCTTGAGGGTTTCCATGGAGAAGTCAGGTGCTGTCCTAGTATCTGTGCTACTCTGGTTCTGTTTGTTGTACTCTGGTACTTAATTCAGTGGGTGTCTGCATGTTTCTCTTCTCACTTGTGTTACCTTGCTGCTCTCTTATACTTTCTGCTACTTATAACTTCAACTAACAATGGGACACATTATTATCCAAACGCCATGTTCTAGTTAACTTTGTCAATTTGAAACAGTCTACAGGCATCTGATATGAGAGCCTCAATTAAGGAATTGCCTAAATCACATTGCTCTGTGGACCTCTCTCTCTCTCTTTCCCTGGGGGAGGCTTGTCTTAATTATCCATATTGCATTAAGAGGACCCAGCCCACTGTGAGTGGTACCATTTCTAGTTAAGTGGTCCTGTATTGTTTAAGAAAGCTGTTAAGTGTCAGCTTGTAGATGAATTAGCAAGCAGTGTTTCTCACATTTCCTACCTTGAGTTCTTGTTATGACTCCCTCCGTGACAGACTGTGATCTGAAAGTGTAAGTGAGATTAAATCCTTTCCTAGCCTCAGTTGATTTGGTCAGAATGTTTTATCTCACCAATAGAAAGTTAACTAGAGCATGGTACTTCATGCTAACACTACATATTCTGTTAACTTCAGCTATAATAAAGCTCCTTTTCATTTTTTTGTTTTGTTTTGGTTTTTTTTTGTTGTTGTTGTTTGTTTGTTTCCATCAAAACTGGAGTAGCCAGTTTTGAACAAGACTTCAATCTCTAAAATCGCCTGGTTCAAACAAGAGACTTGATAAACAAGCTAACTCTACACTTGGATAAAGCACATTAGAGATGAACTCCTCTCCAAGTTACCAATAATATATTGGTGTCAAAATAAGAAATCAAAGCATTTCCCCTTTATGTCATTTAAAGAAGAGTGAGTTCAGATGTGAAATCTCTACTTCATGCTCCTTGTGTCTTCTGTTACCTGTCTTTTGTGAGTCTGAATCTGCGCCTGCTTAAACATTGTCTTGTGAATCTGTCCCTGTGTGTCTGCTCCTAGCAAAGGGCCTCCTTCTGTTACTATTGAACAGTGCAGACAGTGTCACATAGGAAAGAAAGGAGAGGTACTTCACAAGAGTTTTACATGTGAATAAATCACTGTCACCAATTGACACCAACTGATCCAGACAACAAATAGTACAAATACTTGTTTCAGATCATTAGCAAATAGGGAAGCTTGGGTTAACTCACCCCTACCCACAGAATTGATGAGTGAAAGTGCTGTGCCAGGAAGTCTCAGAGCTAGTCCAAAGGGAACCCTAATTCCCAGGACTTGATGAAGAAAAGGATGGAGGATACTCACAGATTTCTTCGTCTAAAGTTGGGATATCATTTTGAGCTAGAAATTTGAGTTTTCATATAGGAGCTTACCAATTCTGAGCCTACTCATGATAAAACCAATCCACAATGTGGACTAATGTCAAGACAGGTCCCTATTTGTATAGAAACACATAGACACAGCTTTGTTTTTACACCATGCATATGTCCACACACAAAGAAAGTTGTTATTGGGGAGAACTTTCAAAAAGTAGCCTGGAATGCACTGGGTGATATGAAGCTCTCCATGAGGAGGAGCTGGGTGAAACTAAGAAACATCTAATTTCATGACCCTGCAATGATATTTTAATTATTTCACCATCTCTTACAAGCTGGAGAACATGGGAAGCTAGTGTGATGAAAAGAAGAGGGGTCCCTAAACCAGTTGCAGCACCATTGAATAGCTAACCTTTGAATGCTCCACTTTATACAGGCCAAACCATCAAAATCTCCAACTTCGATTTATCACATTTACCACATGCCAGATTCCAATAATAGAGAACTCAAGGAAGCTGTTCTTATAAAACAAAACAAAACAACAATAACAAAAGCCTAAGATAGTTAAAGGAGTTCAGTCCTTTTAGGTATACATTAGTATAAGTTAGTTGGGGAATAAAACCCTCAAACAGATAAGCACGTGAAAGCAAAGAATGAGGAGACTACTTTCAAGGAAAAGGATGCAAGGCCCTGCACAAAGATTTGATTTTCTATATACTGGGTTCATAAGCACTGAAAAGATTAACAACATCCCACATCATACAAGGTTTAGGAAACCGGAGCACACAAACTATTAGTAAACGTAAACTGCTAAGTTGTGTTCATACAAATGAAGGTGATTTTAAACCACTCACTTCTCTCTTTAGAAACATACTTCTATTATTTAGAATTTATGACATGTATACAATATGTTTCGATTAAATCTACCCTCTAGTCCCTCTCCCCAACTTTTACCTGATTTTCCTCTCCACCCCCACATCTCCATCCTAACTTCAGTTATTCTTTTTATTTTTAAATCACGAGTACAGTTAATGATGTATGCATGTGTATCTGGACACCCACTAGAGAATGAACAACCTACCCAGATCCACATTCTTAAAGAAAAGTGATGTTTCCTTCCGCAGCAATCATCAGTTACAAATACTATCTCAGCTAAGGACAAGACTACACAAGTCCCTTCTCCATCCATAGTGGAAATCCAAATGTCGTGATGCAGGTCTCGTGAATGTACCACAACCACAATGAATTCAATCCCAACACCCACATGACAGCTCACAACCAACTGTCACTATAGTTCCAGATGATGTGGTGCCATTTCTGGTGTGTGTCATGCATATAAACTCACTTAGGCATATGCACATAAACATGAAATAGATGAATAACAGATAGATATTTTTCTAAAAGATAATCATTTGGAAAGCTGTTTATTAATATGTGTACAAACAACAAATAGAAGTAGATTCTCCTCCATGGCTTATGACTTACCCAATCATGGATTCTCAGCCAAGGTAATAGTACCAAGTATGTATTCCATCTGTCAGGATAGGTCTTAAATGTACCCAGAACATGATTGGCTACTACACAGCATTTAAAATTCTTGTACCAGTGGGCATATCTCTGTACCATATGGCATATCCAAATCAGTCTAATATAAGTGCTAAATTATGTTTACTAATTACAAGGGTTCTCTGTAATTCTTTCTTACATTTTCTGTTACAAAGCTGTATTGATAGATGAAACCGACCTCTTAGCATTGATTCACAAAATTCAAGATATTTAAATATTCTGAAAACTGGGTATCTCACCTCTCTCTCCGTGTGTGTGTGTATTTATTATTTTTTCTTATTTTTCATATCCATCCCAGTTCCCTCTCCCTCCCATGCCTCCTGACTCTCCTCCCATCTCACCCCCCCACACTCCATAAGGAGGGTGATGTCTTCCAGAAGGGATCATCAAAATCTGTCAAGTCATTTGGAGTAGGGACTAGGCCCTCTCTCCTGACTCTAGACTACGGGGGTAACCCTCCATGGAGAATGTGCTCCCAAAGTCTTTCCTGCACCAGGGATATATCCTGGTTTTACTGTCAGAGGTCCCTTAGACTGTCCAGGACTTCTAACCAAGACCCACATTCAGGGAGTCTGAGTTGATCCAATGCTGGATTTCCAGATACCAGTCTGGGGGTCCATGAGATCCCCCTTGTTTAGGTCAGATGTCTCTGTGGGTTTCTGTAGCCTGGTCTTGACCCCTTTTCTTATCCATATGCCTCTTAGGAAATGATTAGTTAGCTAACACTCAGCCAATTATTCTTCCTGAAATACTTGTGTTTGGCTATGAGAACTCAATAAAATGATTAGAAATATCATGGCCAGGAGTGGAGTAGTCAGGGGTAGCTATAGCCAAATGGATTCCCAAAAAAATGATGGCAGGCATTATGACTTCATCAAATACATTATTATTTGTTCTTAAGTTTAAGAAAGTCCTCTAACTTCACATTGCCTTTCCAGCTCTGAGTAACACAAACTCTTCCTCCACCGCAACCTCTACCCCAAATCATTCCTGCAAAAAATATGATTCCTTGGCCATGTTTCTTGATCCTCTGTAAGAGGCTCCAGCAGAAACAAACAAACAAAAAAAACAAAACAAAAAAAAAAAAACCAAGAAAAATCCCCTTTGCATTGTGTTTTTAATATAATATAAGCATCAGAAGCTGAGACTGAATGGAGACTGCCAGAAGGTAGGGAGCCAAAACTAGAAGAGTGACCAGAAGACAGAACTGAGGTTTGTGTGACCTGGGCTTTTCTTTCTTGTTAATTGAAACATGAACACTGATAAGACTGCAATTTGCATGGGAATATTTACAGGCATAGAAAGGAGTATGGGGATTGGTTTTTGTACATGTTAAGACTACAGAGACACAGGGTTTTATAATTTATTTAAGATTTACTTTATTGTCAGTCATTCACCTCTTTCTTCTCCCTCATATCCTCTAAATATAATGATGAGGTCTCTAAGGTGACAATGCCGTTATTACAGTAGCTCCTGTCATTACAGCAAAATGTTTCTCTCAGAAGGTCATGGAATACTTGAAACATTCCATGTGCACAGGATTTACAGGACAGTTTTGAGTAACGAAAAAGGTATAGCCCTAAAGAGAAGAAAAGCAAATGTCATTACCGTGCCTCCCTCCAGAACCTAGTCAGTTTTCCTAAGAATTACTTGGTCCCAAACTGTAGCTACATCTCATCTATTTATCTTTAGTCATAGTTGTCTTCCACCAAACAGATCCATGTTCTGGTGTGTGTCTTCAGAACTCGTGGGAAGGGGAGGGGAAAGGACGGGAGAGGAGGGTCAATCCCCCTTGGCACCTTAACTCCAGAAATTATGGGTGCTATCAAAGACATTTTTGTGTGTGTCTCCCAAAGATTAACTTACCTGTGAAACGGTTACTAAAATAAAAGTTTTCTGTGGTACAAGTCCTGTTGTACCGCAACAGGTCAAACTTCCAGCAACTTTTCATGCCACTGAGGCATTTGCTTCCATCAAAGCGATCACATAGGTTGCAAAATCTTATCACTAAAGGAAAGGGAAGTTTTAAAGGTTAAATCTATGGAAAACAACTAACTAATTTATAAAGGTAAGATTGTACAAAACCCATGAGAAGAAATTTAGCACTCTTGCCCAGCCCCCCCCCACTTGATTTTGTTAATGACAGCAGTGATCTCCTCTAAGAATTGTCCACCCTTCCACAAATCAAAACTAGAGAAAGAAGACTTTGGAGTAGTAAGCGTGGAGTGAACAGGGACAGCATGTAAAGAGCAAAAGCAGTCCTTCTCTTATGGTAGTATGATTCTTTCCAAGAAATGCAAACAAAATATACTCTACAGCTAAATGTCAGCACTCTGTCTCCTGTGAAGAGAAGAAAAATTCACCTTAAATCATCTCATAGCAACTCCATAGACAAATACAGTAACTTCTTACTCCTATACCCATTGTTGTCCTTTTTCCAGACCTTACCTGTGTCCATGAGGAGAACTATGGATATACTCAGCAGAAGCATGCGAGACATACTTAAGCCTCTTTCTGACAACAGGAGCTTCCAGCTATATTTATTCCCATTATTTGCCCTCAGGCATCTCACTATTATCAAAGAATCATAAATTTAAGGTCAAACCGACTGAATCTTCTCTATAAAGTTCCAAGAAGAGGGTACATACTGTCTGTGTTTATGTTCCTCCAACCACTTGGAACTCAGCCTACACAGACACCCTGTGTCATTTTATTAAATCAATCAGAAGATGCCCATTCACATTGAAACAGAATCTCTTGCCTCTTCATTTTGCTTGTGTTGATTTTTTAAAAACTGGATGAAACATGCCTTAGCTTTGCATCTACATGGCATCTTTCAGATATGATAAACCCAAGGTGACAAAGCATTTGTAAGTGACTTAGTCAGTCCTTTCAGAGAACACAAACTTTATGACTTGCCTGTGCATTCCATCTAGCAGGCCCTCAGTTCCTTGCAGAGTATGACAACGGGACCTGAGACTAACACTTCATCTGTGGTTTGACCATCTTCTCTCTGAGGGAGTAGAACAGTCTTGGGGAAAGAAATGAGATAGAAGGGAAGACGTTAGCCTTTCATGACCCTAATCCATTCATTTCTTTCTTCCCCCCCCCCAAGGAAGACAAAGACTATAATGATGACAGTGGCAGAGACTAACACTTGAAAGGAGGAATGAATGGACTGGTGTGTGGAAAGTAAATCAGTGAGAGTTCCAGGGATGCTACAGTTTCCTACCAGCCCCCATTTTAGTGCTAGCTCCCACCTTCTCAGCAAAGCCGCGAATATATAGATGAAAGATCACCACTCTCTGACCAACATTTTTCTGCCTTGCCTGCAGAGTGCCTAATTCAGTTTGTGATCCCATAGCTTTTCTTATTATGTTAATTTTGTATCTTCCCCCATCTAGATTCTGGTTTCACTTGTTGAAGTCTAGAATCATGTCCTGAACAGATCAGATCATCAGGGCTATGGCAGAAAGATAAATGGTACAACTGGATACAGGCAACCTGGGGGGTTGTCAGAATGGACCAAAGGTGTTCATACTGATGGACAGTCCCTAATTACAAGCTTACAGAATGAAATGCCTGATCTTAAGTTTGCAAATTATTGTCACTATAGAGCTGATAGACAGTAGAAATCACAGGTTTTTCTGTGGTAGGGAGAGAATAGATAGAAGACTCACTTATCTAAGAAGGTTCCCAAAGCCTGATTCATGTACCATCCAATGCAATCCCTCATGTCATGCTGGATAAGAAGGTACCCCACCACACACACACACAGTTAAAACAGAAGCCTGGGGGTTCTGCCCACCTATTCTGTGCCTCTATGACTCTAAAGGTGAAAGGAACTATTATAGATGTGCCCAATCTCAGAGGCAATTGTTAGGACTTTGGAACTTGGGTGATGGGGAAATACGTATTTAACAATTTCATGTTCACCTTTACACATTCTCTACTATGTTGCCCATTTATGTCTTTGAATTCTCTCATAGTATCATGGGTTAGAAATGACTGACCTAACCTTCTGATGAAGACCAATGGGTATTAGAGGTGTTAGAGATGAAATGTTTTTTCACCAAGACAACAAGCTTTTACACCTGTGTGATGCAACTGACTGTTATCTTTCCAGAATAGCTCTAAATTTACAGCCTAGAGCTGCAGCACTGAATGGTTTCTACTCTAGATCATCGCTGCAGTGTTGAGTGAGAGATAATGGGAAAGCTTTCTGTGACAAGAAAAGATGAATTTCTCTCTGCCTGGAGGAGGCAAAAGTTACCGGCAGGTGCCACTGATTGTAGAAGGCTCGATGAAGCTGGCTGGACTCTCTCAATTTTACAGGCCACTGTAAGAGAGAACTCCCAATTTGGTTTGAGTACCCCTTTCAGGGGTCTCACATTTGAAACATGTGACACTCAACACAGTCCAGAGACATAAGGACCAGATGATTTATGCTAAGAGCATCAAGCTCATTCTTCCCAACAAAAGACCCCTTGTCTCAGCCCAGAAAGATATCATGGATGTCCAGTGGCTAAACATGTTGATGGAAGGCCTGACTCCAACCAACCCTGGTCCTCTATAGTTTCTATGGACAACTTAAAATATTTATCTCAGAATAAGAGTAATAGAAAATTTAGAACTATACCCAAATTGTTGAGAAGTAAATGAAACTCATCATTCTGAGGAGGAAAAAATATATACTTGCTATTGTTCCACCCAATATTATTTCCTTACATATATCACAACTCTGTGTTAACATGGTTGATATATATAGTAATAAATGTGTGGTTCTGATTTGTGTGCTTAATGAATTATTTGTAAGTTATCCCCTTAAGTCACTATCCATTCTTGAAACTGAGGCCTAGAATTGAGGAAATATTTCATAAACCAATAGTGAGAGGAACCCCTGCGAAGGGCAGGTGCACAGATCGACCCTTGAGACCACTCATTCTAGCCAGGTTTGTTTGGACCATAAACAGTCTTCTGATACCTGAAGACCCCTTTCCTTCCCTTAGAGAGAAGACCTGCTGTCCAACCTGCCTTCCCCAACTCTTTATCTCAGCATCCAGAATCACCCTGGCCTTTCCTTGAGTCTTCTCCTCAGTCTAGAAAGTACAACCTTTTCACCTCCAACACTGGCTCTGAACCAAATCTGTGTCATTCCTCACTGCTCTTTCTTACACCGGGGGTTGTAGGACAAACTGTTCTGTCCCGCTGTCCTCCTACCCAGAGACTCTCCTCACCCATTCCCCCTCTGCTGCCAAGGGAGGGGCAAGTGGTCTATTTAAAGCCTCATTAGGTTCCTCTGTGTTTACCTCTGTAGGAAAGCACGGGAAAATAAACTAAGGCTAATATCCCCCAAAGAAAGTGCTATTCACTCAGTAAAAACAGTAAAACCTGAGTAGCAGAACCATCACACAGCGATGTGCCAGAGAGGAGGCCACATGCTGGAGCTCCACCAGATCCTCCACACAGACAGAAAAAGGAAGCAAGTGTCCCAGGAGTCATATTCCTTCTCCACAGCATGTAACCCACCTCACTCCCAAGTCTGCAAGGCAATGGGACTGAAGCACTTAGGTCTCCTTACCTGTGGATCTCCTCAGACCCAAGCATCCTCTGGCAGCCTACACTCACCCAGAACTATCCTGCCTGCCTGGAACCCAGAAAGAGGGAGGGGGGTCCTTCACTCTCTGTTTCCTCATCAACCAAGGATAGCCTCCTGTCAGAGCCCTTGGGACCCTTCTCCTAATCACTCCAAGCATGCTGCCTTGGGTGGTGTAAAGGTACCATGGGTGGTATAGTATTTTGTCATCTGTGTAAAATAAGGGAGTAAAGATCAAAAGCCATAGAGTTTAACATCTATTTTACACATAAGAAATAGGAATCGATTCAAATGTCACCAAAACATGAAGACAGGGCAAGATCATGGTCCATGTCCTCTCAGCTCTCAGGCCAGAGGCCAGGTGAGAAAAGTCTGGAGTATTAATTTAGTTTTAGGTAGGGATACTGAGTCACCTCTTTTCACAGGCCATGTCTATCTACTACATCCCTGTCATAGTGCTGTCACCTACTGACTTGGTAAACAGAATTCCAGGAAACCCAAAACATCTGCACATAACTTCCTCAGGAAGGTTTCTCTGCGAGGCTCTTTCCATGACCCCCACCTGCATCTTTGTCTGGACGGACACAGCAGGATCTCAGTGTGCCAGGGTGAGAGGCTTTGCCCTGAGTGGTCTCTCACAGACTGTCCTAGCACATGACCTCCTGCCGTCCAAGCTCTCCATCTGGTGGGAGCCACCATAGTCAGAGGGCTCACAAAGCAGTTCTGCATCTGATGTCACAGCTGCAGTTATAGTAAGTGTTCCTTGCACTGTTCCCATAGAAACATGTACAGTCGACTAGAGGGAATGGGAAGAAAGCCACAGTATGACGCCAGACTACCTCTCCTTCTCAAGGAGATCCATATAGAATAGTCACAAGAATAACTGTGTATACCTCCCGTTTCCACAGATTTCTAGACCAGGATCCTGGGCAAAGAACCACTGCTATGCAGCATCACTGTACAGAATTCAGGACATTGTTCTTTGGAGAAGTGATCACAAGGCTGGGTCAACTTTGCTCTCCTATATCAAAGCATCAGGAAACAAGAGATGCGAGATCATAGAACATTTGTCACGTTGGATTCTCAGGAGACACATAGAACCCTAGCAAGAGTAGGGCTCAGAGCTGACAATGTAGTGTGCACCTTTAAACCCAGCACTCAGGAGACAGAGGCAGAGAGATTGCTGTGGTTTCATGGCCAGCCTGGTCTACGTATTAAGTTCCAGGGTGGTTGGAGCTGGAGCTGCAGACTGAGACCTTGTCTTAAAAAAAAAAAAAAAAAAAAAAAAAGAGTAGGACTCAGATGAGACAGCACATTTAGAGATCATCTCTCTGGGATGTGGAGGTTGGCAGGCAGTAGCCCAAGGCCTATGGGTGACACTCTGGCATGGGAAAGGAAAAAACCTGGCGTGGGAGACAGCTGTAGGAGTTGTCTGGAAAAGGTCACACAGCTTCAATATGGTTTGCAAGTCTGTCAGAGTGGGCAGAAATAAAGAACAATTTCTTCTAGACAGACTTTGAAGTATGGTCTGAGGTTCATAACAGGGTAATTATCTCAGATACCTGAGCAAACAGATTAAACAAACAGATCAGCATAACTATCAATCATGGAGAGAAGCCTGGAGCTGCACCTCCCCAGCCCAGAGTAATCAAAGACACACTCAAGGCTGTGGCCAGCAGGGACCTCCACACATGTGTCTGGAGCCTTGCTCCATCTCAGGCCTCCCTTCTCCTAGGGGTGTTCTGAGAGCCTCTGAGTGCTATTCCTCTTAGAGGCAAGCTCTGAGGCTCAGGCAGTTTTTTTCTAGAATACCCATAAAGTATGTCCAGAAAGATTTTATAAAAGAACCTGCTCCCAGACCAAACCCAGAGTCAGGCAGTTCCCAAGTTCAGAGAGTTGCACCG